GGTTAAATCGCAAATATGCCAATCGGAAGGCAGCTTATATTCGCAATTCCTTGAATAGTGTCGAAATTCCATTGCCGTTTCTAAAGGCCATTTCAAAAGGCTCCAATGCACAAATTTAATTATTTGTTTTGGTTTTTCAGCTCATTAATGAAGCAACTAGGGTTGCATTTACCGTCTATGAAAATATTTTATGAAGCGTTCCAAAATTAGCTCCGAGAAACTAAAAGTTGGTTCAGCTTAAGTGAAATAGTTTTTTGTTAAATATTTATTCCTGGTACTTATTAAAAAAAAAATCATATCAATATTAATGTATGAAATGAAGTAAATAAAAATCAACGAATACATTTCTTGAATATTTTGTCATAGAGCCGTTATTAAATACAGACATAACGGCGTCGGGCGTTGGTCTTGACGTATATAGAAGTAATGCGTTAGAGAGATAAATATACAAGCTAAAATTTTGTTTGTTAATTAACGATGCATTTTACTAATCAGCCTAATCGTGAGTTTCGCCAGAATTTTTTTCAACCACCCGTAGTGAACACACGGAAACGAAAAGTGAAAAGGTGACTCGGTTCGAGAAAATGAAACTCATGTTAAGGCTGAATATGTCGGAAACTAAAGCAGATATTTAAAAACAGATGACACTATTTGAAAGATCTTGATTAGTTTAGTACGACAGCATTACTAACGTAATTTGTACCAAATTACCGAAAACATTTTAGTCTATTACTCGGAAACTAAAGAAAATATCCAAAAACTGTTAACAAAAAATTGAAATACCTTATGTTAAAATATATAACTGCATCTTTAACTAAAAACTGTCAAAATGACGCTTACGGAAATTTTCCATACAAGAGACGATATTTGAAAGTTACTGGCATAATTTCGAGCCTGTATGAAAATTTTCGGCAAAAGTTAAGAAGTATATTCATATGCTGAGAAGATATTTTCGCAGATTCACAATTTATTTAAAGTATATGATCAGCCCTGTTTCCAATTCCATGTGAATAAATCGCTCCCATAATTTAATTTGTGCATTCAATAACTTAAATACTAAATTACAAATATTTCGACACAGTAAAATTAAAAATGGGTATGTATTAATAAAATAAATATTCTAAATACATTTATATTTCGGTTAAACCTGAGATGTTCAAGCGCACTGAAATATTTGTCCATCTATTTCTCTAGCACTAAAATAATTTTCACCACATTTAATTGCTGCACAACACCCTTATTGCCGAAAAAGCGTTGCTTGCAACACTAGTCCTTCATGGGGACCAAATGTGGTGAAAAAAATAGCTAAGTTTGTATACTGGATATAGTGAGATAGCAACCCTTGTTCTGTTTCGTTTTGACATGTTTTTATACACATGTGCAATAGTATCAGAGTCTTAGTGGTTTACCAAAAACGCTACCGCTCGCTTGGATGTACAAAATCGAATGAATCTCTTTATTTTCTAAGATGGCGCTTCACTTGTACAAAACGGTTATTGACATAACGAGTAATAATAAAACTAGTATACAAACAAACGAGTAAAGAGTCTTAAGGTCTAGTTACAGTTTCATCTTAACAACTAACTCTTAAGGTCTAGCTACAGTGTGTAAGTATAAGCACATGCTCTACTACTGTTTCCTACACATGCATATACCCCTCCTTATTTTTTTCATAATTTCACAACACAAATGTAAAATTTATTAAAAAATAAACCAAAAAAAAACAACTGAGCAAAAGAAATACTCTGGTCATTTGCTCCTCTGTTGGTCAAAGGGAGTAAGAATGGAAAAAATTAGAGGAAAAGTGCCGTGACCAGGGATCATATGATCGTCTGCGTAACAGCGCCCTATCAGACCTTAGCGAATGCGAGTAGACAGACGGCAGCGTTGATCCGGATCAAGCTTTTAATTTGCAACTGTCTTGATAATTTACTGCAGTTGATCCGGATTAAGTCCTAGATTTACATTTACAAAATTAATTCGGATCAAGGGAATTTTCGATGACAACACTGACCAAAACTCGGAGAGCGTATGTAAACTAGCATGGACATCTACCTTGTCATCGGAATTGAAGTAACCATACTAGGAATCCAATTTGAATTAAATGATAACTTATTTGAATTACCTAGTATGGTGACCACGGTTGCCGTTTTGTTCCAAATGGTCCAAATTTGGTCCATTTCTTTTCGTTTGGTCCATTGGTCCAATTCTTTTTAAAATGGTCCATTTCACAAGCCTTTGGTTAGGTTATTATCACCCTTTCACTTCATGCAATAGTGTCGCGTCAATTTTTTCTATTTACTTAATGGATGAACATTCCGCCCTATGTTGAATATCGTCATCGTTAGTAAAAGTGACGATACGGCCATCGTCAGCCATGTTACTGATGCGCTTGATTACGTTTTTGGGATCAAGTAAGTTTGATTAAAAATGGATTGGGTGAAGCGGCTTTAAGAGAATTGTGTGATTTAGTTCATAACATTTTTAGTCTGCCTCACAGTTCCGCAGCAGCTGAGCGCAAATTTTTTGATTTTGCATTAATAAAAACGAAATTAAGAAACAAATTATAATTTAAAACTTTAAATAATATAATGTTAATAATGTACAATTGTAATGCAATTTGCATCCAATGCAATATAAAAAAAAAAGTAAGTGCGCGTGGGCCACACTAGAGAAGTGAAACTTACGTTACTTATCTATTTTGTCTCATAACCAATGTATACATACACATATCTGCTTTTGCTTAAGGTCATATTTTTTCTCTTTTTTCTATCTAGATCCCTACCTCTACCCCTGTTCGTTTTATATGTTATTTATATGTTTATCGATAACAACGCCCAACAAAATATCGGTAACAAAACCGAGAGATAGATAAAAAAATCGATAACAAAATCGATGACAAATTCGATAACAATTTCAACGGCAACATCGATAATACCATTCGTAGCAAAATCGATTAGAAAATCGATAACAAAATCGATAAATATCGATAGCAAAATCGATAAATATCGATAACAAAATCGATAAATATCGATAATAAAACCGATAAATATCGATAAAAATTGATAAATATCGATAGCAAAATCAATAAATGTCGATAAAAAATCGATAAATATCGATAACAAAATCGATAAATTCGACAACAAAATCGATAAGTATCCATAACCAAATCGATAAATATCGATAACAAAATCTATAAATATCAATAAAAAATCGATAAATATCGATAACAAAATCAATAAATGTTGATAACCAAATCGATAACACAGTCGATAAATTTCGATAACGTTATCGATAAATATCGACAACAAAATCGCCAAGTATCGATAACTAAATCGATAACAAAATCGATAAAAAATATCGCTTACAAAATAGTTAAAAATATCGATTACAAAATTGATATCAAAATCGATAAAAATATTGATAAGAAACCCGATAAAAACATGGATTATTTTATCGATAAGTCTCGAGAATCCCGAAAATTTCTAAAATCCCGAAATAGTTCCCAGATTGAGTCTCCGTGTCTCTCTGTATATCGTTTCCTCTTCAATTACCTTTATTTAAATCTTTCTTCCCCTATCTTCGTCTTTATTTTTATCGGTATCCTCATCCTCATCTTTGTTTTTACTTTTATGTTTATCATTTTCTTCATCTACATATTCCCATTCACCTTTGCCCTTATATATAAGTAAAGTGTTTAAGTTTACCTTGGTCTTCATTTTTGCCTTTATCTTTACGCATCTTTGGTTTCGTTTTTATTTTTACCTTTGCCTTTATCCTTTTCTTTATCTATGTACGTAATCACTTTTACTTTCATGTATTGTTATTTTTCTAAGTTGTACTCTTTAACCTTTATTAGCAATTTTTTGTCAAATTAATACCATACACTCAAGAAGCACTTGTTTCAGCCCCAATAATTTCCGTTGCATCATTTCCGTTGCACCATTTTATTAGCACTTTTTTGTTAAATTAATACCATACACTCAAGAAGCACTTGTTTCAGCCCCAATAATTTCTGTTGCACCATTTCCGTTGCACCATTTCCGTTGCACCATTTCCGTGTGCAATTTCCGTAGAATTTGCCAATTTACTCCCAACCAACCAACCGCCGCTAAAGAAGTTTCACTTCAAAAAGTATCGTTATGAAAACTGAATTGGCATATTTTCTTGATAAAGAGGAACAAACTCCACTCAATTTCCCGATGTAATAAAAATTGGTAAATTTTTTACCATTTGGTCTGAAAAATAAATCGGTTGCCATTGATGGTGACTGCATTACCGACGACAAGGGGGATGTCGATGCTAGTTCTGCATATTCTTTGTATTCTACGCCCCCTGAGAAAATAAAGCAACCAATTTCTTCATCCGCGGTATCCGAGTGGTGTGACCTGCGTTCTACAATTCCGTAGAACCCAGATTCGCTTTGAACGATTGTTAAAAAATTTTTGTTTTTATTATTTTATTTGATTTATAACTTTTATTTTGCTTTATTTTATTTTACTTTCTTTTGTTTTATTTAATTCCAGTTATTAATTTTATTTTTAATTAATCAAAATTTTCAGAGTTTTATTTAATTAAAAACCTCAATAATAAATAACTCAAAACAACATTAAAAAAATATAGAAGTTATAATTGAATGAAAAAAAAAAATAAATGAATATTCTACTGGCCGTGCGACTCGAACCTACGACCTCGCGACTCGTTACATGGCAGACGCAAAGGCACAATTTTCATCAGATCAACTGCGCCGTTAATCCGGATCAACGTTGCCGTCTGTCTATGCTTTAAGATACACCACTTCTCTTTTTATTTATCTCTTAATTTACTCTAGTCAAATTGCTTGTTAGTATTATTTTTTATGTCAGTATATATTAATTACAATGAAACAAAAATGAAAAAAAAATCTCATAGGATTTTATCCGTTTTATCTATCGCTTAACTAGCTTAATTAAAAAAAAAACTCGAAGTACTATTTATAAATATATTTTTTTCTCTTGCAGAACAACGTGCTGCGCAACAAAATAATAAATAAAATATCTTGAAGCGAAGTAACCAAACAAAGACGATGACTTCAACAACGCAACTACCTACAAAACTCTGTCATATAGTAAAACGTCCAGATTTCGAAGGGTACGGATTTAATTTGCATTCAGAAAAAGTTAAGCCTGGGCAGTTTATAGGAAAAGTAGATGTGAATTCTCCAGCGGAGGCTTCGGGATTAAAAGAGGGAGATCGCATTATTGAAGTAAATGGCGTTAACATTAGCGGGGAATCGCATAAACAAGTGGTGCAGCGGATTAAAGCGCTGTCAAATGAAGTCCGGTTGTTAATAGTCGAAGCAAATGCAAGTAAAAGTGAGACAAGCGCGAGTGAATACCCTGCCAGTGTTGCATCATCAGAGAGCAAAAAGAACAACAACGTAAATAGAGAATTCGAGGGCATATTTCAAGAAATACCTGGAAGCAGCAACAACATTAGCAGTATCAGCATAAGTACAAAGCGCTCATCCAATGGTGGCAAAAATTCAGTCAATGCTAATGTAAATACAAATGGTGCAATTACAAATAATGCCACGGAAATGTTACCAAGAAAACCAGACGTTTGCAATTCTACTTCAAGCTCCTGCCATGTAATTACTACGAATGCGACTATGCCAGCGGATGCTATGGGAGCGGAAAGAGGCCAAAACGGAGCTGTGAAACCTTCCAGCTATGGATTAGAACTACCTATGACAGCAGCTGAGATGCGGGCAAAACTTTTATCCAGAAAAAAATACAATCCAAAAAATGAAGTTGTGGACCTAAAGAAAAAGTTTGAAATAATTCAGAAACTGTGAAATATACACGAGCAAACACAAAATATACATAATAATTTGCTTTTTTAAGGAAAGAAAAGAATGTTTAAACGATTATGTATATTATAACACACTGAGGCGTACGTATATAATTGTGCATCTATAAATATTGAAGTGTTTGTCTGTGATCTTGAAATAAAGGTTTTCTTAGCACATGTGGTTATCTGCAAACCAGCGTTTTTGAATTGTTTGGCTGTGTGTAAGTTATAAGTCACGGAAAAGTCGTCTTCATGCGTTATTAGTTCCGCTCAGGTAGGTAAATTTTGATTGAAATGGTTGGAGCAACCCATTCGTTTCGGTATTCAAAACGCTCAAGGTATTGGCCCAATGCACGCTTGCTTTGCTTGCTTGGCTTTGAGAACTGTCAAACAATTTTTAGAATCTACTAAAATGTATGAAAGTTGGCCTAGTGGCAGCTTTACTTCACATGCTTGAAGCGCTTTAAAGTATCGATTAGCCGAAATCTCTATTTGACAGCGCGCTGTAGGCTTTTGACAACTCTTGACATTTCAATTTTTCGCGTCGATTTTGCTTGTGTGCAGTTTTTATCGCGTTCTTCATCAATTTTAGGTAAAATAATTTATATTAAACAATTATTTGTTGCTAACAACATTATTTTTTCAGATACCTTGCTTTTTATCGTTCCGGCCACCAGATTCGTTGGTTTTCATAAAGTTTCATTTGCCTGTGCCACTTCCACCCGTGTTTATAAGGCGTAATATTCAACTGGAGGTAAAAGAGTTTATATTAAACAATTATTTGTTATTAATAATATTATTTGTTGCTAACAACAATATTTTTTACAGATACCTTACTTTTTTATCGTTCCGGCTGCTGTATTATCCGATTCTTGTGTGTTGGTTGGTATATCGGAAGCTTTAGTGCAAGATGTTCGAAGAAAAACTTATAGCAGAGATTGAAAAACACAACTGCTTGTGGGACAAACGACAGCTTAGTTACCGCGATCGGGTGAAGAAAGATTTGGCTTGGCGAAATGTAGCTGCTGCTGTGGGACATCCTGGTTAGTATAGAGTTTTTCAAACATATAGCAGTTTTGTAATAGGACGAACCAAATTATAACAAATTTGTGACGAATAATTGTGACGAATACTATATTTTTACTTTACAGAGGAAAACTGCCGAAAGCGATGGAAATCGTTAAGAGACCGATATGGAATAGAATTGAAGGTTGATCAACAACCTAGCGGAAGTGCTGCGTCGTTTAGACGAGCTTGGCCATATTACGAAGCTATGTTGTTTTTGAAAGACACGGTCACGCCCAGACAGTAAGTGTACTTTACATTTGTACAACAAGTATTTATATTTTAAATTGTAATTTATATGTACATATTTTAAGGACAACAACAAACATCGTCTCCCAAACGCCAGAAGTTCTCGGACAAGAACCAGATATACTGGATACTTCCTTTGGATTCCAAATAGGCGAGAGTGGGAACATTATAATAGAAGAGCAAGAAACCACTGCCCCAACGCCGGCTAAGAGACAAAAGAAAAAAAACGATGAGAACGCCGCCTTTAACGATCTAGTCAACGAAGTAAGTCAGTTTGTGGATAGTAAAAAAAAAACACACAACAATTTCTTGGGTGCGATTGGCGAAGTGTTTGAGAAGGTCCCAGAAGAGAGCCGCCTAGATTTTCAAATGGACGTACTTCAATACGTCTATGCTCAATATAAAAATTATAAAAATTGAATTTACGAAATTTAAAAATTTAAATGACATCCAGTTTGAATTCAATTTTGCGAACTTTATATGTAATCTAATTTAGTATGAAATCTGATTTTGATTTTGCGAATTAAATATGTAATCGAATTTAATATGCAATCTCACAGAAAATGCTTGCTATAATTTCATTGTTTCTAATCAAACACAATTGTACATTTTTTTAAGAAAATATTCAGGATATTATTCCAAACGCGTGGTTTTCGATGCAAGTTTACGAGGCTTACGCGGTTACGAGACATTTAAATAAATAACCTGGATATTTTTTTTATAAAAAATTGTACAATTGTGTTTGATTAGAAACAATGAAATTGTAGCAAGCATTTTCGGTGAGATTGCATATTAAATTCGATTACATATTAAATTAGATTACATATTAAGTTCGCAAAATTGAAATCAAACTGGATGTCATTTAAATTTTTAAATTTCCTAAATTCAATTTTTATAATTTTTACATTGAGCATGTTTCGTTGTGAAAATGCACTGAAATATGTAAATGCAAGATCCTATGGACAAGATCCTGAACAGCCCTATTATTTAAAATACTAAAAAGTAGACTGTTTGTAACAACTTTTGTTTTATAAATAGGCAATACTTAAGTACCTTAAAAAGAAACATATTACTTAAAAGACTAAGAAGTATATTGTTTGTAATTCACTTTTGTTTTATAAATACGCCATATTTACAGTGGTCGAAAAAATTATAGTCGCACCATATTTGACAAGTTTTAACATTTTTTTTTAAATTTTAGTAAATTTTTCATAAAAATATAGTTAATTCTTTAACAAAGCCCGTGTAAAAAATTCCGTTTTATAAAAAAGTCAAAATTAAAAAATAATATGTTAAAACTTGTCAAATATAGTGGGGCTATAATTTGTTTGCCCACTGTATGTACCTTAAAAAGAAACAAAACAATTAAAAGACTGAAAGGTATATTGTTTGTAACCACTATACTGTGTAAAACGGTTTTAACTTAAAAGACTGAATGAAATATATGTTATGTTAACGCCATACTTACCTTGAACAAAAATTAATTTAAAAACCTGAAAGATGTGACGACATTTAAAACATTACCAATAAGTGCCCTCATACTGTGAGTTCAAATTTTTGTTTTCTATCTTAAATAATAAAAACAAAGCATATTCAGTGAGTAGTAATTATTTAAATTTTATTGTTAAAAAGATGTGTCTTCAGAGCATCCCTTAAATCATAATTATTTGAACTGCCTCGGTTCGATGACACCCTACTTATTGAGGGCAATGGAACTACTTCGTTTCGCCATGAGCCAGCGATGGTGGCATCCTCTTCGTAGCGATCAACAAAATCGCTTGCTACATAGTTTGCACACGAAAGCTTAATAAAATTATGCAAGACAATACAAGCTTTCACTATTTGTTCTGCATTTTTCGGGGCCATGCATAGCGTCGTTCTCAATATTCTCCATTTGGCAGTGAGTATTCCAAATGCGTTTTCTATAACTCTTCTTGCACGAGAGAGTCTTTTATTGAAATACTCTTGCTCTTCTGGAATACCTCTACCCGGATATGGTCGCATTAAATAACGCCGTAAGGGAAAAGCAGCATCTCCTACTAAATAATGTGGAAATGGCTCGGTTTCTCCTGGCAGAGGCTGATCATGTGGAAGGCCGAGCCTATCATTTTCAATAGCATCTGCCAGTTTTGAAAAGTGGTAGACACCGCCATCGCTTTGACTTCCATATGCTCCGATGTCAACGCAGGTAAAGGTATAATTGGCATCACATACGGCCAAAAGCACGATACTATAATTGCCTTTGTAATTATAGTACATCGACCCTGAATTCGCTGGACAGGTAATATTAATGTGCTTTCCGTCGATGGAACCAACGCAGTTGGGCATATTCCACAGCGACTTGAACTCATTGGAAATACGTCCCCATTCCGTTTCTGACGGGGTCGCCACATACAGGTCAGCTAACAGATCCCATATGGTCATACATGTCTCCAACGTAATCTTCCTGAAAGTCGTCAGGCCGATCCTGTGAACTATTGTGTGGAATTGCCGAGTGCCACCGTGAGCCAAATATCTGCAACAAAAAAATAAAACCAGATACATATATGGAAAATTATACGTATACTATTAAGTAAAACCGATTTTCTCTTACATCAGGGTTATAAATAGTCTGCAGCGACTCGATATTGGTGTTCTGATTGAATATTTGGTCAGCGAAGCCTCCAGAAATTCGTGCAGCACATTAAATAACGAAAAGGGCATTCTTAATGTCTTGTTAAACTGCTCCTCATCTGCAGCCAAGTTTCTTAATGAACTTTCAAACAATCCATATTTGTGTCGCTCTAAGTACAATTTCCGAACCCAAAATCGGCGCTTCTGTTTTAATCGCAGTTTTAATTTACGCATTTTCGCTAAAATTAGGAAAATTCTCAAAACTTGTTCAGCATTTCGAGTCAACATTTTGTACAGCCAAATGAAACTTTATGAAAACCAACGAATCTGGTGGCCGGAACGATAAAAAGCAAGGTATCTGAAAAAAAATAATGTTGTTAGCAACAAATAATTGTTTAATATAAACTCTTTTACCTCCAATTGAATATTACGTCTTATAAACACGGGTGGTGAGTGGCGCAGCCAAATGCAGCTTCACCAAAACCGGAACGATAAAAAAGCAAGGTATCTGTAAAAAATAATGTTCTTAGTAACAAATAATTGTTTAATAACATATATTTTAACTAAAATTCACAATTATACTTGCTGGCACAACAAAGAATGGCGGGTATATTTGCGCGCATTGAAAATCAGCTGACTACTATGACAGCGTTCAAAGCTACCATTAGGCCATAAAAGCCTTCAAAGTAAAGCAAAGCAAACTAAAGTAAGCAAAGCAAGCAAAGCAAGCGTGCATTGGGCCAATACCTTCACTCTGGTACAAACCGCTTTATTGATGCTATGAACTTTGTTAACGCTCTTATATTCATCTTTTACTTAAAGCCGGGCCATACCAAAAGAGATGTTGTATATTTTCTTCTTGCAATGGTTCGAGGTGTCTGTGGGGGTTAGTTTATAAGCCAATTAGGCAGTGGTCTGTAAGAGTCCTTATAAGAAGGACATAACTTTTGCTTAAACCTAAGATCAAGTATGTACTCTTCCCGTTATAGGAAGGCCAGGTTGATCATAGATGTTTCACAGGACAGTGGTCTGGAAGTCAAAAAGATGTTTCTTGCACGACGGTCGATTTCTTCGGGCATCATTGAAAGTGCTGACACATATTTTGTTGTCGCTTATGATTGTCACTGTGCCGTGATTTTTTATATTTTAGTAAAGTGGTCAGAGCACCAAATTGGCAACAGTGAATGTAAACTAAAGTATTGTGTGACGTCAGCGAATGGGTGGATGCTGTCAAATCGATGAAGAGAGGGTTAGGAACTGCGTGCGTTTTTGGTGCTTTTTTTTTAGTCTAACGACACCAAATTTGTAAGTCTTAAACAATGGGAGCAAAATGCATAGCAATCGTAAGTTTTGTAAGCAACTTTACAAAATGGAAACAAAATCATGGCATAATGGCAATCATAAACGAGAGAGCATATGGTCGGTGATACTGCAAAACGTTCTATGTCACTTATTACCTCTGGTGCTTAGTTGATCTGTAGCTCGTTTTTGTAACTCTTCTCTTCCGATAATTTCTCTACCGGTAAAGAATATACGTCATTCTCTACTACTCATTAGCAGTAGAGAACAATGCGGCGAATTCATCTATGAACCATCTATGAAACCATCTAAGCGTCAAGGGTACTAACAGACATAGAACGTTTTGCAGTATCACCGACGATATGTTTGCCCTCAAAATATGTGGCAGAACTTTCAATCATGCCAGAATTACATTCGGTACTTTGCCTGCTGGGACCAGATATCGACGTGAAGACCTTTTGTTTCGGCTGAATTTGTTAAATTTTCTACTACTATTCCAAAAAACAGCAGCATTCCTAATAAAAAAATTCCTTTTACCAAAAGAATAATCGAAATCGGGTGAGATTTGAAGAGTACCTAGGCAGCTTTTTTGGCACAAAAATATTAGTGAAATAAAAGTTCGTTATGCTTCCGGTGTCAAGCGGTACTTTATTTCACGAGATTATAAAAGACTGCAGTATATTTAAACTACCACATAGTTCATGAAACTATGGCTGAATTTCTTTATTCATTCTGAACGTTTGGAATAAACTTTTTTGTTTACTTATTCTTTAGAACGTTCCTGATGATATGTTAACGTATATTTCAAACGTATTCTGTTTACTCCGGCTGTGAAATGGGATTATCCGGAATGTATAAAGAAACGCAGCCTATATTTTTTATATTTTTCCTTTCGTTAGATAGGAATTGTAGAAAAAATTAAGCAAAACGAAAAAATATAACATTTAAGCTGTCAGGAAAAAATGTATAAATTTTTCATAAATCTAAGTTAAACGGCAACGTTGGACATAGCTGTAAATTAGAAAATTAGGGTATGTGCCAATCGGTAGCTTTTTTCTCTTTTCTTGGACGAAACAAATTTAATTTATAGAAAACAGAATAAATTCGACCGTTGAGCAAGAAACATTTATTTTTATTAATTTGAATCGGCATATCTACAATAAAATGTTTTATCATACAAAGTTCAATAAATACTCCAATAAAAATTTGGTGCTTTTTTCGAGAAAAGAGGAAAGTTAGTCCTTTTATTAAAACAAGAAAAAGGAAATACTCACCTTTCCTAAGAACAAACCTAATGAGTAATAAAATTATAGTTAAAAAAAAATAAAATTATAGTTATTTTTTAAAGGCATCCCATTGGAAACATACATCACCCCATTGGTAGAGGGCTTTGAGTGTACGAATTGTTACGCAAGCCTATTGGGTCGATAGTCATTGTCAACCATTATCGCGCCACAAATATACATATGTTGGTACCACAAGCCTGTGTCTCAACATGTTGCGCAGCATGTGTGGAAAGGAGCATTTCTAGTAAAGTCTAGATGTGTGTCTGTGCATCTGTGTGTTAACGCATGAGTGTGAAAGTAGTGAAAGTGGCCACACTTTTTAAACCTATCAGACAGGCGAAGGTGCGTAACTTTGCTAAGCCTGCCGCTCGATAAGGCAGTTGTGAGAATGAGTGTGTGAGTGTGAGATACTTTCGAAGAAGACCTTTCGGTTATGCAGAAATTGCGTTTTGTGCCTGTCCGTCCGCTATATAAGACCCCGATGAAACGCAACGGCACAGTTACGGAGTTGCAGTAATAAGGGGTAAAGAAGATGAGCAGCATCCATCTACCAATTATCGGCCCTGGTACCCATGAAATGTGGAATCCACACAAGTATGCTGGCAATGTAAATCCGCAAACACTCAAGCATGAGCGCTTATGTGCTTATGCCCATGTGTACATGTATATATGTTTGTTCATATGTGTGTATGCATGTACACGAATGAGCGCTAGCGCCTAAGTGGCAAAAGTGACTAAAAGGTTATTTTCATTACAGGTCGCCAGTAAAAATTATACAAAGGGTCGCCCCCGGGTTTGGGGCAAAGGCGTATCTATAAGTACACGCGATTGAGCACTTCACACAAGGTGCCACACCTTGAACCAGCGTTTACATTAAACGCCTGCGAGGAATATCATCAACATCAGGAAAATCAGCAACACCACGAATATCACTAACACCAGAAACATCAGTAGCTCAGCAACATCCACAGGATCAGCTGTCGCCAGTACATATGTATGAAAGTGAGCCAGAAGTAGATCAACGTTCGGTATACACAAGCTGGACAAGTACAGTAGTTGCTCATACATGTGTACATAGGTACATAAACGAACTGAGGAATACTCCAGTGAGAGGGATTTCAGCGTTGGAAGCAAAGAAGACAACTGAGTGGAAAGCGCTGTCATTAACGAGGGAGAACACCGGAAAAGGGCAGTAAAAAGAAGCGACGACTAGAGCAGCGAGCGAGACTCGACGTCAACGGCTAGACGCCGCCGCCTAAAGCCAGTGCCGTCAGCACATACATGCAGCGGGGAGGTTGTACCCACGTGCTTCTTTTGATGTATTGTGATTTCCTTAGTATAGTTGTATATACAGGGTGTCCCAGAAGTAACCTGCCAAACTTGAGGAGAAGGCAGGTGGGGTGGTGAGCTCTCTGATAAGCAAACATTTTTCAGGTAAAAGTGTCACCGTTTTTGAAATATTTAAATTTTTTTGAATTAAAGAAAAATCGTGCATTTTTGTGTATTTTCTTTAACTGCATCTACAAACAAGCCTATACTTTGTAAATTTTTTATGTAAAATACTTCCAGATAGTTGCTTCTCCATACTGAAATACAATGTAGTTAAAATACATTAAGGAACCATTATAAAATAAGGACCATATTGCGATTTTTAACTTTTTGATATTTTCTTCCCCAGCTTTGACTATCTCTGGTGAAAAAAGATGTACTGAGCTATAACTTTACATTGCATAAAAAAATTGCTCATTTAATAAAGATTTCAGGAAGGTGCCACTCCTACTATTTCGAATAGGAAACAAAAAAATATAGCCGCTTTTGTGGGTATAGGACTGAGACACGCTAGAATGTATTAAATAGATTTAAATTTAAGTTGGTCTTGTTACCGACCAATGACATGCTAAATAGTACATAGGTACACTATTACTTGCTCCTGACATTATTTTGTGTTACTTACCGAAAATAATAAAAGTGGATTTTGTGAAATTGGACCCTTCGAACATTGTGTTATTAATACTATGACAGAGAACACGCAGTATACGTCGCCTGAATATGCGGATATTCACCTAATTTACGGTGAAGCTTGCTGTAATGCCAGAGCTGCTCAAAGACTCTATGCAGAGCGATACCCAAATCGTCGGCATCCGGATCGTGAAGTATTCCCCCGCACCCATAGAGAAATTTCTGAAGGTAAGTAATTTTTACACCTTTCTTGTTTGAAGCCATTCTTCTTTTAACTATCATTTTTTAACTTTTTTAAGGTCGCATACCTGGAAGGCGTGGCGGCGAGACAGGACGTCCTGCAACGGTAGATGTTAAAGTTGTGTTAGAGGAAGTGGAACTAGGTCCATCGACTTCAGTGAGAATGATGGAAAGACGGACGGGAATACCAAAAACTACAGTTCACAAAGCTTTACAAGACCATCGATTTCATCCATACCACATTCAACGTGTTCAGGCTCTACAAGAAAGAGATTACCTGTCGAGGGTTAGATTTTGCCGTGAAATGTTGCGAATGCATGAATCAGACCCCAAATTTTTTAATAAAATAATTTGGAGCGATGAATCATCATGCAAACGTGATGGTTATTTTAATTTACATAACCTTCACAGTTGGCAGATAGACAATCCTCACGAAATGAGAGAAGATCGTTCGCAGTACCAGCACAAAATAAATTTATGGTGCGGTATTTTTAATTGTCAGATATTGGGACCTGTGGAACTGCAGCCAACGCTCAACTCCCACAGTTATTTAAAGTTCCTTCAGGAACGGCTTCCAACTCTTTTAGAAGATGTACCCTTAAACCTGCGGCGAAGACTATGGCAGCAAAATGACGGATGCCCTGCTCACTACGGGCGTGAAGTAAGAGCTCATTTGGACGAAACTTATCCTCGCCGATGGATTGGACGATACGGGCCAATCACGTGGCCAATCACCGCTCGATCGCCAGACCTGAATCCATTCGATTTTTTCTACTGGGGCAGTCTTAAGGACAAACTTTATTCAAAAATAATTCAAAACGAAGAGCATTTTCGAGAACAAATAAATGGAGCTGCTGCTGAGATAACCCAATTGAGTTTACGATCTCTAAAAGTGTATTTTCTTAAAAGGTGCCGAGCTTGTATTAGAGTAGAAGGTCGCCAATTTGAGCATATTTTATCAATAAATGAATAAAATTTTCTTCAAACAACTCATGTATATTCTATTTCACGTGAACCTATCCTTTACAAAAAATATTGATAGATATAGCCCTTGTTATTGACTCTAGTCCAAATCCCGGTAAGTAACACAAAATAATGTCAGGAGCAAGTAATAATGTACCTTTGTACTATTTAGCATGTCATTGGTCGGTAACAAGACCAACTTAAATTTAAATCTATTAAATACATTCTAGCGTGTCTCAGTCCTTCAACCACAAAAGCGGCTATAACTTTTTTTCTATTCGAATTAGTAAGAGTGGCACATTTCTGAAATATTTATTAAATGAGAAATTTTTTTATGTAATGTAAAGTTATAGCTCAGTACATTTTTTTTTTCACAAGAGATAGTCAAAGTTGGGGAAAAAAT